CTAACAATAGGAGCGAGATTGCTATATTTTTGAACGGCTGTAGTAACAGATAAACCAAAATGACGAGATTTTGTATATAATCCGTGTAATATTTTACTACATTGCAGAAATGTTTTATCTTCCGCAAAATCATCAATTATCAGAAGACACGAAAATAGTTTAGTCATTCCTATTTTGTTTTGATAATCTATTATTTCAAGTTGTGTATCAATTATATTTTGTAATGCTTCTGGATTATATTCATCAAACACATATTGTTCTTTATTATCATCTATCTTTAATTCAGTTTCTACATATTTATTAATTTCTCTATACGCTTCATCAATAGTTGCTGTTGGAGAAACGATGTATATACGTTCGAAGCCGTTCCGATATACTTGTATTACGAGGTTCTGTATAAGTATTCCTTTACCGCCCTGTGATGAACTACAAATAATACGACGAAATGGAAGTTTATCTGCTTTATCATAGCTTGGTTGTTTAACTTGATATTGTCTAACATTTATTGGTTCTATTTTTGGTGGTGAATTATCAGGCATAAAAAAATAATACTAAAGATATTTAGACAATAATTTAATATTATTTATTGTATGAAAGCATTGCTATGATATGAATGGTGTCTATCGTAGTAGAACGGGCTCTTTCATCAACTTCAATCAATAAGCATTGAAGATAATTAGTTTTGTGTCTTGCTCGCGTGTGCGATGAAAACCCCAAGTGCTGTGCCCCAAATATTCTACCATGCATGAAATAATAAGACTAATTAGAATAATTTATCTTTTTATTTAATATGGAACGGACTTATTCAGACTGTGTTGATATAATAAATGAAGTAGATAATATAGAACAAGTAATAATAACTGACAATAAAATTAAAAATGTTCTTACTATACAATGGAACTAGTTAAGTTAGTAATAGAATATATCAAAATTAAAAATGTAAATGTTACTACAAATGCCAAAAAAGAAAAAGAGTAAAAGCAAAGAAAGACCAATAACAGGTATTGAAGCACGGACAGAGTGCTAAATCAATGGGTGAAAGCAAATCTATAAAATGTGATACATGTAATCATTTTATGAGTTTTAAGAATGAATTGACGGTAGATAAAAAAGATGGTGTTAAGGTTAGTTGTGTCCCATGTATGTTTTCTAAAAAAACAGATAAAGATTTGAATATTAAGAAAAATCAGGAGGCGATATGGTTATTGAAACTAACGAACATTTGATTAGTGTTAGTTTCAACAGGGACATAAGTTAGTGTTTAAAGAGTAGATTTTGCATTAAATCAATTATATAAATAAATACATATTTAAGTAAATAATTATATAAACAAATATACATAGAAATGTTTGAAGTTGAAAATGATGCTATTGCTGAACTATCGAAGAAGGTGATGATGGTTAGTAAAAATGTTAAACTGTTGCATGAGATGATGAAAACTATTGACCAGAAACTTGATGCAAAGGCAAACGAACCAAAAAATAGCAACGAAGAGAAGGAAACGATTGATACAATTTTGAAAAGAAAGGGATAGGAAGACCCAGCGGTGATTATGACACGAAGCGTAAAAAATATTGTGATATGTTAAGTAAGGGACAAATCAAAAGTCCAAAAGAACAAACATTAGAATATTATAAACTATTTAAGGGTGATGATGGTAAATATGTAATTGTTGAAAATTAAATTATAAATATTTCTAATAGTATGAATTTATAAGAATTATTTAGTGGAACTGGAAGTGTAGGAACCATAGCAAAGTCGCTTGGATTTAATGTAATATCATTAGACTTGAAAAATGCTGATATTAATTGTGATATTTTGGAATGGGATTATAAACAATTTGATAAATCACACTTCTCATTTATCTGGGCATCACCCTCGTGCACCGAATACAGTAGAGCAAAAACGTCAGGAATTAGGAATATTGAATATGCAAATAGTATTGTCTTAAAAACTATTGAGATTTATCAAGTATTTTAATCCTAAATATTTTGTAATTGAAAATCCCAAAACTGGATTATTAAAAATTCCGGAGTTCATGAATGAGTTTGATTTTACAGATGTTGATTATTGCAAGTATAGCTTCCCCTACAGAAAGCGCACCCGCCTCTGGTGTAATCTAACAGCGCGGCAACCAAGACCATTATGTAACAAGGACTGTGGCAGTGTTAGAAATGGAAAGCATATTGAAACTGCCCGACGCCTACCACCAAAAACTAAGTAAGGCAGAATGGGGCGACAATCCAACAATACATAAACAGGAAGACCTATACAGAGTTGATTTGTGAGATTTTGACGAGTTTGGTGGATTAAGGAATTTGAGTTGGGGTTGGGAACATTCTCCAAGGTTAAGGGGAATGAGTTCTGGATTGATGGGAGCATTGAGCTGGATTGATGGGGAATGAGTTCTAGATTGATGGGAGCATTGAGCTCGCTTGATGGGAGCATTGAGTTCTGGATTGATGGGAGCATTGAGTTCTGGATTGATGGGAGCATTGAGTTCTGGATTGATGGGAGCATTGAGTTCTGGATTGATGGGAGCATTGATTGATGGGAGCATTGAGCTGGATTGATGGGAGCATTGAGTTCTGGATTGATGGGGAATGAGTTCTGGATTGATGGGAGCATTGAGCTGGCTTGATGGGAGCATTGAGCTGGCTTGATGGGAGCATTGAGCTCGCTTGATGGGAGCATTGAGCTCGCTTGCTGGGAGCATTGAGCTCGCTTGATGGGAGCATTGAGCTCGCTTGATGGGAGCATTGAGCTGGCTTGATGGGATTTGAAGACATATTACCTGACTATTATTTTAACCCATAAACCTTACAATAAGAACATTGTAAGATTTAGGTTTTGAAATTTTGGGATTTATATTTTGGGAATTTGGGATGGTCTGGTCTTAAAGACATGCCACCTATCAATAGCAGCATGGAGATGACTGACAAAATGCAAAAATGTAGGCGATGTGAAAACACTTATCCACCTGACCTATTTAATGTTAGAGTGCATATTTGTGATTACTGCCGATAACAAAGTAAAGTGGATAGGAAGGAAAAGAAAAAGGAATACAATACAGTGCGTAATCAGATTGAAATAGAATGTGATATTTGCCAGTGTAAAGTGAGGAAATCTGGAATATCCAAGCATTTGAAAACATTGAAGCATATTGAGAATGAGAAGCAAAAGGAAACACCAACTATTATTGAAGAAAAACCTGTTGATATTGAAACAATATGAATTGAAATTACACCATACATTTTACAATTAAATTGTTGTAAAATTTATGTTAAATGTTGATTTGGAAATTTTGGAAATTGGGAAAATTACATTTTGAAAAAAATGGGAAAATAATATTTTTGAAACATTTAGAAAAAACATATTTTTTGAAAAACATGGAACATATTTGTAAAATTTATGTATTAAATCTTGAGTTGAGGTTCTGTTATGAAATGATGAACACATATTATGTGAATTGGTCGGTTGAGGGGATTTTATCTAACTGAGGCGCGCTCATTGGTAGGTAAAGGTAGGGGTGACAAGGGGTGACAAAGGGGTGACAAGTTCGGCAGGTTGGCGTGTTAGGACCCTGTTTTTGGCCAAAAACGGCAAATTGATTGGTCCCTATAAGCTGATGTTCCTTACTACTCCATGCACTGAATTCAGCTGAGCGAAGACGACGGGCGACCGAAACATTGAGTATGCTAACAGCGTCGTTTTGAAAACCCTTCAAAACATTGACTATTTCAAACCCCAATATTGGATACTAGAGAACCTCCAAACTGGCCTTTTGAAAGAACAACCCTTCATGCACGGTTTGACATATTTTGATGTGGATTACTGCAAACATGGAATGAATTACAGGAAGCAAACGAGGTTGTGGTCAAACCTGCTGCACGGAGGCAAGGCGAGGCAGGCTTTCCCGCCGAGCAGCGAGGCAGACGTGCAGCCGGGGCAGTGGTGCGTGGTGCGAGGACGTAAGGCACGGCGCCAGTTTATGAGCACGAGGTGCTGCGTTGGTGCGAGAGACGCTGTCGGGCTGGCGCGGTCTTTCTGCTGCTGAAGGCGAAGCGTGTGCTCGCACGCAGTGGCAGAGAGGTAGAAGCCCCTCGATCTTCTGTGCGCTCTGGCTGGTACTCGAAGGTGTTGCTGGCCGCGATGCTGAACATGGGCGTTTGCCGCTGGGACTACATCGCGTTGGCGTCTCCGCGCGCGCACCATCTTGGAAAGACAGAAGCTGTGTACCCCGTGTCTTCGGACCTTGGGCTAATTTTGTACCGCGAATTCTGCTTGTCGACCGGCGATATGCTTCAGGCGGCATTGGGGAAAAAACTGTCCTTTTCTTAGAAGGAAGCAAAGCTGTTCGTGCAGGTCTTTCAACAATGGTGCGCCCTTGAATACTACAAAAACAAACAGAGAGAGAGAGAGAGAGAACCAAAGAAGGAGCTTAATGGCATGAGAGCTGCGAATTAGAGCCGGCAGCAACAAGATGGCCCCACTGGAGAAAGCGTGCCAATTTGGATAGCTGCAAGTCATGTGGAGGTTTTTGGTGTGGCTCTTTTTGTTGGAGTTGATGCCATTTTTTTTGGTGGGTGGTTAAAGGGAAATTCAAGAGAAAACCACCATGATTCAGCTCCAGATTGGCAGTGCCAGCTGTGAAGTTGCAAAAGGTGGCATGATGTTTCACCTGATAGTGCTTTGTTAGTTTTGTAGTTTGGCTATCCATGCAGCCCTTGGCTTGAGAAAATTGTCCTGATAGCTAAATCATACTTCTTTGCCAGAGCATGCTTGAGACTTGACATGAGCACGTTTGGTGACCCAATCTTTTCCCGTAGACAACAGCAAATACTTCGCAATTTCCATTCCAATCCCTGAAATCAAGAATCTGGGATCCCCAAAAGGACCCACATGGCTTTCACCTGTTTTACGGGTTAGTGAGCCCCGAAGAAAAGATTAGCAGGAAACTTTCCATTTCAGATTGGACAACAATCACATGTTGCTCACATGCTTAGGTTCACATCATGCCACCAGCGTGCGCTGTTCTGCACTTGGCCTTTGTCCACGATGATTGATGAAGGACATGCACGAGGCTCGCTTTCAGATCTCCGTGGCTGACTTGTTGCAGAGCTGGCCCACCACGTTGTACTTTTAGTCCAAGCACACTTCCCATGCACACATTTGTTTCATTCAGGAAAATCCTAGCTGTATTTAACGTTTTATGTTCACCCACGACCCTGGAAATATGTCACTGTCACAAAAGGAATGAACAATTGGGTGAGCAGGGGTTCATCAGTCTGACCCACCTTGTTCCCATCTTTCCACGGCCTAGAGAGAGGGCGAAAAAACGTTAAGTCACCTACAAATGCAAAATGAAAAGGATAGAAACTCACCTATAGACACAGCATGAGGATTTGTCTGAGTGAAACCTCTTGATTGGTGAGTCTTTTATGATGAAGATGGGAAAGACATCCATGTGTCAATTAATATCAATGATCATGCAAACATGACCAAAACATGAAAGTGAAAGGTGATGGACATTCGAATTTTCCTTGGGGGTCCTTCATGATGCTCTCCTCACTCACTATCACATGCCAATTCCAAAGAAGAAAGCAATTGGATCGTGATGAAACCCTTGACATGTTGGAATCGGCAAGGGATGTTCGTTCACTCTCCATATCTTTCCGTTTATCAGGACCTCACATTCCCAATCACGTCTTTTCGCTCGGGATATCTCTATGCAACCCCAAGCCAACCTACTGCAGGGTCATATGTATAGCACCCGTCGGCCAGGCAGATGACGAAGTTCTGGATTGGCAAGCGGAGATTCCCCAAGGAGTGAAATCGAAACTTGTGTGTGCGGCCCGTTTTTTTTTTGGGGGGGAGACCCTTTTTGGGTTGGTTTTGAAGGGAAACCTATGTCAAGACTATGTCCATTGGATGATGTCTGCTTCAAAGTTTTAGGCAGTTTGGCCTTGCTTCAGGATTCGTTCGCAGTTTGATTTCAATTTTGTTCACAGTCGTTGGCTACATTGGGGGTTTTGGGCCCCCATTTGGAGGCGGCACAAGATGGCGCCAGCCCAAGGCGCGCCATATTTTCACCCCCCCCGCTTTTAGATCTTTTGACTGTTTGCTGTTCATGATAAGTGAGAACCAACCTGAAAACTGATTCGGGGATTTTCTTTTTATAGGGGACCCCGCCAAAGTAATGGTTTGTCTTTGGTTCTCCTTTAAGGCCAGAACAAATGGTAGCCTCAAGCAAATGACAAACTTTTAGGGTGACCTGCAAACAGAGGTGGTTCACTTTACTGGGAGCACCGTCCTTGCAGCGCGGCCTCTAATTCACCGATCTGCGATTTGCACGATTCGCATCAGGAGACGTGCTGCCGATTCTCGCTGTGCTGCTGGCATTGGCTTTGGTGCGACTCACTGAAAAAGTGCGATCCCTTTACAGTCACAAGGAATGATGTGGGTGTGTCTGGTGTTGGAGAGTCTCTTTTTGGGGTGAATTTAAACGGACACCAAGAGGAAAACCACCATTTTTTGGGTCCCCCAAAGAAAGACACGCCGCGCCAGGTCACGTCTGCCAACTACAGGCCCGTGTTTTCCTTCTGGGAGCTGGGGCCTTGAGTTTTGGGCGCTCCGCGCAGGGCTCCGCAGCTCCAAACTTGATTTGACCGAATCAGAATGGTGGCCAGGGTTTTGTGGAATAAATTGACCAAGAACTTCTGACTAAGGTCGACCCCGTGTTCCTCTTCAACAATGATGAATCCCCACTAAACCCAGGGACATCCCCAAAAAAACTGGGGTTCGAAGTGAAGCTGCTTACTGCTTTTGGAAACCTGGGATAAAGCGCAGAACCGCCGCCTCGGGTCCTTTTTGAGGTGGGCAACATTTTGGGAGTGGGGTTGGGTTTCCAATCACCGGCACCATTCAGAAAGGCTAGGGGATGCTACCCATGTCCACTTTTGGGGCCCCGCATGAATCTAAAGGGTTTACTTCTCCGGGGTGTTGACATTACCCCGAAGGCGGCCATCCAAAAACTGGTTTGGATGTCCTTTCGTGCACCCATGGAAGGTAGAGTACCAGACAGAAGACCAGGTGGAATCCACAAAGCATCCAACATACTTTTCTTTGAGAACCTTGGCCAAGGGTTTTCGCTGGTTCTCCGGCACCTCAGTGTCCAGATTTCTTTTGCCTGGAACTTTTCCATTCGGGCCCCTTCTGAAAACGTTGAGGGACACTTTGACGATCCATTGCGCGATCGCGGCTTGCTCAATGAACATGAGTGAGATCTGTTGATAAGATCACGTCGAACTCACCTGGGTGGCGGTCTATGGGAAGTCGTGCAGATGGGGGCTGGGGAATGGGAGGTTGGTTTCACTGTCAAAGCAGCCAATCGGCCTCCTCAATGAAGAGCGGGCAACTCCCACAACTCAGGATCGTAGGGTAAAGTGCTCCACACTCATTGGCTTCTTGCACTCTGGACAATTCCTTTTCAACTTTCAATAGAGCATGCGTGGCAAAAGGTAACACCCCACCAACAAACATGGATGTGCACAGACTCCCGAAACCCAGTTGCCCAGTGGCGCCCTTTTTTACTGCTTTTTTTTAGCTCAAACAACCAACAAGATGCATTTTTCCCATGGCTACTGGGCATCTAAGTTTTTAAAAGGGACATCGTTCACTTCCATGTTAAGATGGTAAAGCCCGGGGTGACCCGCAAGTGAGTTCTGCTTTTGTCCCCCAGATGCTTCGCACCGGGGTCTGCCATTTTAGTGGGCTTCCTGATGGTGCCCCTTTCGGATATGAAGGAACACCAAGAGGAAGCCGCTCATTGTGGAGAGGGGTTCTCCCATTTGATGTGGCTTGATTTCTTCCATTCTTAAGTTTTGCCCCAGGGCGCAGGAGTGATGGATTCATGAAACAAAAAGAGGGAAAGCACAGGCAAAAAGCACCATCAAAGAAAACGACAAGAAGAAATCAAAGAACACATCTACCTAGCTCCCGAGGTCGTCGCTCCGGACCTTGGGCTATCCCAGGCTGGGGAGCAAATGGAAAAAGGAGCGAGTGTGTCTTCAGGTGGGTGAATGTGACTTCAGCTCTGTTGAAATTTGGAAAGAAGGTTTGGCCCGTGGGAAGATGTTGCATCCCAATCCGGTGCCAATCGGAAAGAAGGCACCGAGCCTGATAGGGCCTCCTTCGAGTGAGGTTCCGTGAAGGGCTGATGCTTTCCGAGTGGGAGAGGCAAAGGAGCGAATTTCCATTTTCCAGCTCCAGATTGCTCCCAAACAGGGCATTTTCTTTAAACACATACAACTTGTTTGAGTGAGCTCCTGCAGCGAGCCAGCTACTTTAAGGCGGGCGGCTTGGGTAAGTGCTCATGGTTTCCCAAAACCACGCGCAAAAGGGCATCCTGCTTTTTGAACATTGTATGACTAGAACTCACTTCCCCCCTCAAGTCTCATGTGCTCGTTTTTTAAACAGGTGATTGCAACTGCTTGCTCCTCTTGCAGTCGGGCTCAAGCGCCTGTCGGGCAATAGGCCTCGGGCGCTGGGCGCCGTCGGCTCAGCAGCTTGATCTGCACGTCAGAGCCCCCCCCCCCCACCGCTGATAGGGTTTCGAAAGGAAGTGATTTCGAGCCCATGTTGGGTGGGTGGCCTTATGGCGAGGTAGGTTTCTTTCGGCAGTCATTCGAAGGCTTCCTGGACACGCCACACGAATGAACACAAAGCCCAACATGGGATCAGAACCCAATGGTCAGTTTCGTTCATCACTTGTGGCCAATGGGAAGCACTGACTTCTTGGTTTTGCGGGCCTCCAGTGGTGTTTTTGCGTCTCCTTTTCTTTACCTGTTGGCATTTGCTGAATTTTGTGCATTTTCCGGGTCTTAATCCGAATCGGCGATTTGGGCGAATCGTCGTCGCGCGACCTGGGTTTGGGTGCGGGGACGTGAAGCATGTTTGACCGATGCTGTCGATATGGGTATTTGTTGATATAGGGGGGACCAAACAGGGGGAGTCCAAAGATAGTGGTTTTCCTTTTGGTTTCGTTTGAAAAAGGGAACCCACAGAATCACATGGCCCTGTATATTCAGGGGCTTCTTTTCGTTGCGTTTGTCTGTGCTTTGTGGTTGGATCAAAGGAAAACCTCGGTAGAACCAGCATGAGACGGGAGTTCCCCCTGGAGAACGGCAAATGGCAAGGTCGACTTGGGATACGCGATGGGGAAGAAGGCGGGGGTCGTTCTCATCGCAAGTCGGTACTCTGAAGACGGCCTCAGTATTCGACCCTGAGGGATTCAATGGGAGAACCGCAATATCAATGTAGTCACTATATGGCTGTGGGTCAAAACCCATGGTACCATTTTGGGGTAGGTGCACCACCCATTTTAGAACCTATTTTCGTGGTTGGATTGGGATGTTCAGTGGGGGTACGGGATTTTGACCCGTGGCCATATGTGTTATGGTCAAAAGACCGGTTCCTTTAGATAGCTTTTGCCAGAAATGATCATCCACATGGCAAGGATTCTTAATGCTTGTTACAATGATTCCTATTGATGGAGCCTTGAAGGCCATATAAGGAGTTTGGACTGTGGCAGATATGAAACGGATATGTCTATATTTGTATATGCATGTTTACATTTATTATATCTATACACACCATATATATATATATTCACTGCTTCCCCCAGTACACGTTCATCCCATTTGGGATAGGGTGTCGTGAGTTTCCCAACCGGTGCTTCCACAGTGTTTTTTCTTTTTGTTTGCCCCTATGACCAGTATTCGCAAAAGCCTAGACTTTGGAGACCCTCGTACACAGGAGCAGCGCCCAATACCCCCCTTGGCCATTTTAGAAGGTGATTCTACTACCTGGCCTAGTAACTATTATGAAGGCCTATATAATTCATCACTTCACTAGAAAGGGGACTGCAAAAACAACGCTTTTTGCTAGCGTAGCAAGGGTTGTGAAGATCAGTCAACCATCTTGGAACCTATAAGTCACCAGACAACCATCTAGGAACCCCTCTTGGTCCATGGGTGAAACGGGGCGGCGTAGGGGAAGAAGAAGGCAAAGCTGACCGGCACTCCAGACGTGGTGCGCTTCAAGGGCACGCGTGAGTACTGCCTCCTTCAGGCGAGTCTTTGGGGCGCCGTTTTCGGGGCGTGGGCATAGGAGTTTTGGTCCTTCGGGCTGGCCGAAGGAAGATGGCGGTGGTGAAATCCGTTTTGGGATCCAATTTTGGGTGGTGAGGGGATGGGGATGTTCACAGGGGGTACGGGGTTTTGACCCGGCCATATCCCCCCAAAACCAGCTGTCCACACTTGGATCTGGGTCTTTTTGGGGCTTGCCGAATGATTTCCCCAAAACAAACCAGCCGCCTTGAATTTTGAGTCTTGGCGGTTTGTTTGCTTTGTAAGCCATCGAGAGGGGTAACTTTGAGGATCTCAGACTGTTGGGAAGGTTTCGCAGGTTGACCGGTCCAGTTCTCAGGGAAAGCATGAACTCACGCCTTGCCAGTTCTCGGAAAGGGTCAACCTCCAAATATGGGGCAGAAGCTCCTTTTGCAAGGCCCCTCCAAAAGTCCGGATTTCTATGTGAATTGCGTCGCTCTGTACCCTTCCAATGAAGACTTGCCCGGATAGGATGGGCCTTGAGAGAGGGTACAAGCGGGGATTTGTCAAAGTGCGCATAGCCCAAAACTCAGTTGACCCTTGTAGCTTGCGCCCGGTTCAAAGCTGGATTTTTGTGAGGCCTAAACCAATTCACGAAAGGCCGTTAGTTATGCGAAGTTTTTCCGTGAGCATTGCTTTTGCGCCAGGAATGCAAAGAGATCCAGGAAAGCTTACCATTCGTAGCGACGGATGCCTTGGACGAGTTCGCCTACAAGAAGGCACTTGACTTATTTTTTTTCCTTCGTACGATTTCGGGTGAGCAAAGATTTTGGTTTCCTTAATTTTTGGTTTGGATGGGTGGTTGGATTTGCAGCCCTGCTTCTTGCGGGTAGATGCATTTTTGCCCGGAGTTGAGAGGGAGCTGACTTGCGACTTGCCGCGGGCTTGAAGCTTGCGCAGCACGTACGGTTGATGGAGCCAGCCTGTTCCAGCCGAAAGAAGGGGCCCTGCACATGTGGATTCCATTGCTTCCGACGGGGAGACTTCAACCAAGGGGTTGGCGCCCAGGGATTTGGGGATTTGGGGGATTTCTGGTCGCAGATGGCCATGGGTCAAAACCCAAATCGGTTCCCCCCAGTGAACATCCCAATCCAACCTCTAAAATGGGTTCTAAATTGGGTGGTGAATTCACCGAGAACCAACATGTTGGATCCCAAACCGGTTCTGACCCACGGGCAAATCTGTGGAGGGTCTCAAACGGAGGGGCGACGCCTGCGACCCATTTGCCGCGCCATGGATGCTGAAATGGAGGCGGTGGCTCCGGGCCAGGCGCTCGGAGAGGGGGAGCAGCTGCGGGCTGGGCGGGGGGCCTACAGCGAGCAGGGGCAGACCTTTGCGTCGCTGGCAGGGCAGCTTAGGTTCAGCGAGAACTGCGTGGAGGTGGGGGGTTGATCAAAAGGTCCAGAAAAAATGGGATGACCATTGGTCGGACTTTTCCCACTTAATTGAAAAGTTACCCCATGGTCAATTTGAAGATCTTCTCACTTAACATGGGGAAAAGTTCACCCATGCTCAAGACTGGGGGCCCTAAACATTGATCAACTGTCAGGTCTTACCAAAAAGTTGTGCATGGTCAAAACTGGGGGCCCGGAATGGAAAATGGAACAATTTGCAGATCTTACCTCTTTGACCATGGCAGAAGTTATGATCAAATCTGGGGGCCCCAAACGGAATATTACATCAACATTTGCAGGTCTGACCAAAAAGTAAACCCATGGTCATGGTGAAAACTGGGGGCCCTAAATATTGAACAATTTGCAGGTCTTACCAAAAAGTCACGAAAGCAGTAGCTGGAGTTCTTCTACCTAAGCTTTGCTTAGCAATCAGGGGGGGGCCAAATGCCTCGGGCCCATTTTTTTAAAAGCGGAATGGGGGGCTTGGACTTGCCTTTAAAGCTGACCGATTTGAAATGCTACAGCCTGTACCGTTGCAACTCTTTTGCGCAAAAGAAGTGCACCCGGTGGCTGACCGAACGACTACATCCTGCTGCGCAACAGGCGGAAGAAGCTCGTGCGCTCTTTGGAGGGCGGGGAGCACCCGCTGACCAAGCTGGGCAAGGGCTTCTTCCGCGACAAGTTCTACGAGTACCTGGTCCACGTGCCGGTGATCATCCGGGGCAGGCGGCGCAGCGGGCGGAACGCGGGGGCGGGCTAGGAGCGCAGGGACTGGCTGCCGGTGAAGCATTGCACAAGCTGGGCAAGGCACAGCGGTGAAAGAAGGGCAAGTGGTGCATATCATTTCGGATTCTGAACACTGCTTTTCTTCGCGATGCAAGGCAGCTGTAGTTTGAAGGCTTATCACAGGTGCAAGGCGAACACAGGCAAGACAATGGACGGATTAAGCTCGAATGGCGGATAAAACAAAAGAGTGCTGAATGGCAAAGCAAGCAGTCTCTAGATTTGCCTGTGTTCATAGCACCGACTGCAGAAGTGTGAAGAGTGAGTGTCATCATTGAAGTCACGGCTGGGGTCGATAAGGCGGCCGCAGGCTGAGTTGTGAGGGCACGGATGCGATGCACAGGGCAAACCACAGCAAAGGCGTCGCTGGTCGTCGAGGTACCACGACCGTGCCAACTCCCCCATGCGACAGGTTTTCAGAGTGCCTGGAAGGCGCAAGGCGGGCTGGAGAACGCACTGCTCCAGCTGCGCTATGGCACAGGCGCTGAGGGCGTGGATGTGCTCGGCCAAGGCGAGCGCGGCGTGCGCCACGAGACCCTGACATTGCGCGACCAGCAATTGTCAAGGCTATAGCACCAATGATCTTCATCAATGCGAGTGTCATTGCTCGGAGGGCGACGGGAAGGCAGCAGCCAGAAGTTGTACCACCAACTCCCGTCAAAGGCAAAGGCTTCAATGTGGTGGTCC